CCCCTGCCCGCCTTCCAGACCACGTTCCCACCAATCCCTGGCCCATCCCAGGTTCTTTAACGTGATGCTCCAACAACAGGCCAAGACTTGGAGCTTCCGGCCTAGGCGGTGCTTCTGCAGAGCCCACGCCAGTGCAGGCTGTTCCTTCTTCGGGCCCGCCCGCCTCCTCCTGCCTGCACATCCTGCTCAATTTGTTCGCCATCCACAGCGTCCCATTTGGTTATTGCCATGTAACTGCACAGGAATTAGTTCTGTGCTCTGCCTCCCCTGTGCCCCTGTCCTGTCCCTGAGGGCAGGAACTCACCATTTCATCTCTATGTCCCCAGTGCCTAGTTCTGTGCCTGACACAAAGTGCGTACATGAGTGGGTGGGTGGGTGGATGGGTGGACAGACAGGTGGATGGATGGACAGACGGACAGATGGACAGACAGAAAAAACGAGCTGAACCGAATTGCTGAGGTTGGGGGTAGGGAGTCAGAAGGAATGACAAAGCCAGAAAGAATTCGAAGATAACTTCAAGGAATCATTGAACTCGAAGAAGTTAGATCATCATTTTGAGAATCAAGAGAAAGAGAGGAAGCAAGTCAGGGTGTGAGGGGGAAAAATGGATTCATTTGCAAGATATGAAGAGGGAGTGAGTGGGTGCATGGAATTTGAGCGGGAAAAGACTTCTTTTTTACCATTTTTTCACATTTATTTTATTCTATTTTTGATTACATTTGACATGTAATATTATTTTCTATTAGTTTCAGGTGTACAGCACAGTGGTTAGACATTTACCTAATTTACAAAGTGATCCCCCCATAAGTCGCGTACCCACCTGACACCGTATGTAGTTCTTACCATATTATTGACTCTATTCCCTATGCTGTACTTTACATCCTCATGACTATTTTTTCCTTTTTAAAATTTATTGAGGTGACATTGGTTAATAAAATTATATAGATTTCAGGTTTACAATTCAACAATACGTCATCTGTCTACTGCATTGTATTCACCACCCAAAGTCAAATCTCCTTCCGTCACCATACACTTGACCGCCCCCCCCCTCCGACCCTTTCCTACCTCCCCCTTCCCTCTGATAACCCCGAAACTGTTGTCCGTGTCCGTGAGTTCTGTTGGTTGCTTTCGGTGTTATAGCCCACGTGTAAGTGAAATCATACGGGTCTCAGCTTTTCCCGTCTGACTTATTTCACTCAGCGCGGTCATCTCGATTCTCCGTGTCGTAGTGGCCGGCAGTACCCCATCTTTCCATGCGGCTGAGCGGTTTTCCATTGCACATACGCACCACCTCTCCTTCATCCAGTTATCTATCGAAGGGCACTTTGGTTGTGGGAAAAGACTTTTTCGAAGGCAAAACCTTAGCTGCTAGGATTTTAAGGGCACTGGAAATTCAATATAAAGCCTGCGATAATGTGATGCTCGGAGAATTTTTATACTATAAAAATAAGGAAATTCTACTTTTTAAAATAGAATTCTAAAGAAAACTTCCCACTCCCTTAAGTGACTCAAGGTGAGGACCGCCCAACCCCTCTGGCTCCACGTGGTCCCTGAAAGCACCTGGGGACTGCAGGGGAGGTTTGTGAGGGGGGCCTTTTCCTGTTTCCCAGCCCCATCCCACACTAGGACAATGAGCATGGAATGGAGTTGTGTTTTGAGGCATGAAAGAGGCTCATTATGATGGACTGGAGGGGGAAGGGAGGACTAACAAAAAGTGGCTTGGCCACTCTGTCCCCAAGGGCAGGGGGCCCCGGATCAGTTACAAAGTCTAGAACAGTCACCAGTCTGTTCTAGAAACCTGAAGCTCCCCCACTAATTAAGAGTTCAGTCTTGCCTCAAGAAACAGAACCTGCACCAGCCGAGTCAGCCGTTCTTCCAAAATAGGTGCTGGCGACAGGGGGCGGGCCCGAGGTGGCCCTGTCGTCATCTCCGCGTGGACCCTGGCCATTAAGGCAGGAACATCCTGCTTGTGGGCCGGGATGTGAATTCCTCCTTGCACCCGCTGGAGCCTGTAAAACCAACAGTGTAGTTCCAGGCAAGGTGGCTTCACGGGCGTGTGACCTCTCACGTAGTCACAGGGCCCGGAGCTTGATGCTCTGCTCTGGGGCCCACGTTTGACTCTGCAGAGTCTTACAAGTTATGCAGCGACACCTGATCATGAGAATTCTTTCAGCAGTAGGTGAAACAACGCTCTCTTAATCATAGGTAGACGGGGGAGGCTCCTGGTCTCCTCCGGGGGAGATCGAAGTGTCTGTGGAGTTCAAATTGTAGAGCTAAAAAGGTCCCAGAGAGTCCAGCTTTTAACTGTGGGCTCCATCCCCTCCCCCGCTTCACAAATGAGAACACTGAGGCCTGAGAAGTGAAGTGACTTTCCCAAGGTCGCCCAGCCGATCAGTAGCAGAGCTGGCCGGGACCCCAGACCTCTTTGCCCTACCGCTCAAGAACACACCTGATTCCCCGTGGTAAAGTTTGTAGCAGGTGCCTCGAGGCTGGGAAACGCGGGTTTGGGGGAGCACGGCCCATTTGGGGAGAGGCACTGCAGCACCTGCATCTCCAGCCGTCACCTGAACGCATCCCGCCCCCTGGCTCCCACCCTCCGCCGCATCACCTCATGCCTCAGGCTGCACCTCCCGCAGGAAGTCTCCAGCCTCGCAGGGCGGGCCAAGTGTCCCCACTCACTAGGCGCCTGTCACAGTCTAAGGTGGTTGCTTATTAACCTGTCTCCCCAACTAGACTCTGGGAGGGCTCCCCGGGGACCCTGTACTGTGACCCTGTGCACAGCTGTACCCCCACATCGGGCCCAGACTGAACACTCAGTCGGTATTAATGGAGCACAGGAAGGAAGGAAGACGATCATTTAAAGCGGTTCTGGAGCAGAATAAACAGGATTTTAAGGAGTGGAGGGAGAGCTGTCAGAGTTAAGAGAGTCCCCTAAGCAAGACAAAGCCGGACCCCACATCCCCCTGGGCTTGGCCTGGGAGCGGGGGCTGACGGAGGGGCCGGGGGAGGCCGAGAAGACTCGGGGCCGGGAGGCTGTCCTACCAACATCACTGAAGGGGCGGAACGGGGAGTAAGGGCATCTGGGAAGAGGGCGGAGGGTGGGCGTCGCCAGCACCCCAAGCCACCTGGGCCTTCTAGGGCTACCACGCTGTCCCCTCCAACCTCAGCCGTGGGACGTGGGTCGAAGGTGGCTGGGGTGAGGAACGGGGCGGAAGAGGAGAAAGAGAAGAGAGAATGGCCTTCTTTTCAAAGCAGACCGTTTCTGCAAATGAGAGTGAGGGCTCTCGGCGTTCGCCTTTGCCACCCCAGCGAGGCGAATCCCGTGACTTCCCTGGGTCTGTTTTCTCACCTGCAAATGAAGGTCGTGGCCCGTTTCTCGGTTCCGCTCCCGAGGACACCGGGCAGGTGTCAGTGGGCTGCGTGTCCGCTGGCGCCTCCGCGCCTCTGCAGCTGGCCGCGTGGACAGCGTCCTCCCGTCCAATGTTGGTTTGCGGGTGGAAGGCCGAAGCTGGGAGCCGGATCTCCTAGCCCCTCCCCGCGCTCCTGTGACCTGGTGCCACATCTGTAAAGAAGCATAATACCCTTGAGCCAGGGACAGATTAGGAGCCCACCAGGGAGCAGTCCCCTCCCACCTCTGAAATCCCAGGAGAGCTGCGGAGCCTGCCAGGGACTGAGACAAGTTCTCCTGTCACTCTCGCAGGACGCTGTGGCTGTTTCCGAGTAGGTTTTAAGCCCTTCGACAATCGCTAGACGTCAGAGTGTGGAGAGTCAGCAGAGACGGTGCCTCCTGAAGAGGGGACGGGGACCCAGGAAAATCAGCCTCGCTCAAGGCCACGGCCAGTGAGCACCAAAGGTCAGCCCTGCGCTCCCCGCACCACAGAGCGCCCTCAAAGCCACGGCCAACTCGTTCCTCCTTTCTTCCTGTGTCCCTGGGGAAGTGAAGGCCATGGCCTCCCATACCCTCTGCCTCCTGCCCCGGGAGCCAAAGTCCAGGAGGACACAGTCTGCTTCGAGCATCTGCCTCCCCGCTCCTAGAAGCTATGGTACAACACACCGCGCTGTGACAGCCTCGTCCCCCAACGTTTGCATAGACCCTAACCTTCCAGGACCCTTCACGCATTATTCTGTTTGATCTTCTTCCACACCTCACACCCACATCTTTCCACTGGACAGATGAGGCCAAGATCAAAGCTACATGTCGTGCCTAGCCTAGGCTGCAGCAACATGGGACAGTGCCTGCCTCCGTCCAGCGGCCTCAGGCTGTGAAGTCATGCCCGTGACTCCTACTCTGTCCATTGACTTCAACCCACTGAGCGGCAGAGCTGCTTCCGTTGGAGCCTTGAGATGGTCCTGTCGGCCCAAGCTCTGGTTTGACTCAGACGCTTCCTAACAGTAGACCCCATAGAAGAAATGTCTAGACAGATCCCTTAGCGGCCCTGGCTTCATTAGCCTTTCCAAGGTCACACACCTTTCCCCCACCCACCAAAGCCCCGGAAAGCGGACACCCTGATTTGCAGAGGTGGCAGCTCCGACTCATAGTCGCCCAAGCCCTCTTCCTCACCCCGCTTCACTCAGAGCCTTTGCTGAAGGTACCATCTTGCCCAGGCATGACACCTGAAGCTCCCTCTGCTGCCCCCCACCCCCACCCCTGCCCCACCAGCGGCCAAATCCCCAGAGTCATACTTACGGTTTGGGAAATAATTCACAAGGCAGCTGGGTGTACTGTGAGGCAGGGAACAAAACTGGCCTTCCCCTTCTCCCGCCGGCACGTAGAACACGAGAGCTTGTCCCTGTCACACCTGTGCCCCCAGCATCCGGAACTCGCATGTCCGCACTTGGCGTGTTCATGGACCAAGTTCTCAGGGTCTCTGCTCTGAAGAGCCACAGCCTTGGAGCACGGATGGGGGTGGGGGGGTGACTGCCTTCATGCAGGAGACGCCACCCTAGCCTGCATCGGTCGGGGGAGATGGAGGAGGCCGGCAGCCTGGGACGCCCATCTGGCGGGACATGGTGAACTTCAAAGACAGGCACGTTCCCTGGCTCTTACTTATTATCTTTGACTATTTGGGGAAGGTGTGGATGAAATCATGCCAGGCCTAACCAAGAGCAGACAGGCAGCGAACCCCACTGCCTCTGACAATGACCTTCGCCTCTATACACCGTAACAGAGAAGAGGATTTGAGGCTTGTGAATTTTACTCACTGCAATCCCCGAGGAAGGAGGTGCCTAGCTGTCCTTACAGACTCAGTCCTGGCTGCCTGGGAAGCATTTATAAAATTACAGGTACTTGAACTTCACCCCAGACCCATTCACCAATCTCTGAGTAGTATTTTTGTTTTCAAAGCTCTCCCGGTAATTCTACTGTGTGGTTGAGGTTAAGAAAATCCCTGTCTTAAACTAATTCAGCCCCAAAATTCCAAGTTGACTGGACACATCTTCTCTGACTGGAACGTGGACACAGGCCTGCTCACAGCAAGCTCAGGCTCCTTTCTCGCTGTGGCCCAGACGCCCAGCTTCCCTGCTGTCCCACGGGGCACTCAACGAGCACTTCGAATCCTTGGTTTAATATCATTTTCCCAGGGGACACCTATGGTTTTTCCCAGGGCCCAGGAGCTGGACTGGTGGTTGCTTCGAGCCGGAAGTCAGGCTTGGGAAGAAATGTGTGATCACAGGACAGATGGTCTCTTTGCGGAACCCAGCCACCACTGGCCCCGCTCGCCAGGGAGAGAGCGCGTGGGCATTCACACAGGAGGCACTTATGGTCATTAAAAGGGCACAAGGTGCTCTTCTATTTCTTGTGAATCCCTTCCTTACAGACTGCTGCCTCATTGTTTCCAGGAGGATGGGCAGAGACTAGCTAGGAAGTAGCTCCAGCAAAGGCCAGTCCAGCTGGTAAGTTCCGTTCAGTATTACCGGTAGCCATTAAGTTACATTTCTGAGAAATGGAGGAAAGAAAATACTGTTAAGTGATTCAGGAAGATTTTATATATATATAAATATATTAGAGATGAGACCTAACGACCTTCCTCCTGCCCGCAGCCCAAATCCCCACAGGTTGTTCTGACGACGAATGGAGACACAGATCTTTGGGAATGGACGCCAGTGAACACATTTCCAGCATCAGTGCAAGAGGCACGTTGACACAAAAGGGCCGAATTACTGGTTAGAAAGGAACGATGGTTGAGACACCGGCCAATCCCAGGCTGATCTGTCATCTATCTGCCTGAACATCCTAACACATGAGTCAGCAGCCTTTTTCTGTAAAGAACCCGATAGTAACTGTCTTAGGATTGAGGGCCACGGGCCTCTGTCACGACTACTCAACCTCGCCACTGCAGAGCAAAAGCAGCCACAGACCCCGTGTGTAAGCAGGCCTGCGCGGGTCCGACTGCGTTCCGATATAATTTTATTTACAGAGAGAGGCAGGCTGGATTTGGTGGTTTGCCGACCCCTGTGCTCCCAGAATGCGGCTTCCATAGACTGAACCGAGTGACGCTGAGTGGGTGACAAGAAAGGAGAAAGCATGACAATGGTAAAAGACTGATACGGATTTAATGACCAATATTCCGTACTGGTTGCTGAACACCAGAATGCTGTCCAGGAAACCATCATTAAATTAAAACAGTCCGAAAAGAAGGCGATTCTCACATACACGAGCACACACTCACGCAAAACCTGTTACTTTTAGGATCATTAAATTATTCACTATTTTAACAAACGGCTCTAAAATAACACAACAGTGAAGGGAGATGTACACGAACGTCAGGAACGGTTCCGATTGTCTGTGAACACAGGTTCTTCATCTGTCCTTTTTCACATATGTAACAGCCGCCTGCTGCTCTTGAAGAGTCACGTGGCTCGAGAGGTTATCTCGCCATCTCCTCCCGACACGGAGCTCACGGCCGAAGCCAGCCATTTAACCTGTTTCCTCTGCCCCAGCTTCTGCTCAGTAAAGGGCAGCCTGCACGTGACCAAACTCCCAAGAAACCAAGGACACGCTCCACCATCCTCATTGAGTTGGTAAAAGGAGTCTTCAGAGGAACATTTTAAAGGGTGAACCACAGTTAATAGGGTTTGCTTTAGGAATACTATTATTCTAAAACTAAAAAAAAAAAACAAAAAAAAAAAACAAAAAAAAACCCTCCTGAATGCATTTAACCTCACTTAATGCAGATATGTTCCCTGAAGAATTATAAGAAAAATGGAATCACATTTTAGATGCACCATGACAACCGGGTGCTGATGATGGCTGGACCGCTTCCTTCTGCTTAAGGGTTTGCTCACAGAAGGGATACTGAGGGAGTGGCTGACTCTCTTATCCACGATAACAGAAAGAATGAGATAACAGAAAGAATTATTTTACATCAGCTTCAGTCGCCTCTCCTGTTCTCAGAAACTGCTGATATGTAACGGATGCAGGTCAGACTGTGCAACAGTATAACAATGGCCGCAAATGGCCAAAGTGGATAGTCAACCCATGAATGATCAAAAGTTCAATGAGATTCATAGGCACAGACTTGAAAGAACTTAAAACAGTTGGAAGAGGTAGATGTGCATTAAAAAAAAACACACACACACACACACATACACAAAGGAATAAGATGTCCTTCAAAATGGCTATATTATTTTCAGGTGAGTCTTATACGCTTCGTAATCAGACTACGAGATTCAGAATAAATAATGGACACTTGCTTTGCTAGTGTTACTCTCTACTAAAAGAAAACTGAATTAGTGTCTTCCAAAACTATCTCTATTTTGAAAATCTATTTGCATTTTGTGAATAACAATAAACTGATTAAGAGGGCAAGATCAACAGGCATTATACAAGCCCAGAATTCTCAGGATTTTTTAAAAAGTGTTTTTATAATGACAAAAACATGCTTTCCTACAGTCCCCAAAGAGCTTCTTTGCTAGGATACAACTGATCAAGTATAAATGACTGGCATCCACAGAAAATTTGCTCAACTGTAAAAACAATCGTGTGATTTTTTTTTGTCCTTCAGGTGTGTCCAACAGTTTGTGAAGATGCTTCCGTGAAAAGTACAGGGCGACAATCGCTAGTGAAGAAAACAATAGTGCTTTCCACAACTCTAACTTCTAAAGGCTAACCTAGGGGAAGGGGTTTTCAGCACAGGTAACTGCAATCTGTACAAGTCATCTAACCAGAGCCCCTACTAGAAATGGGACATACCTAGGACACCCCAATTAGGTGACAAAGACCAGCTTTGTCAACAAGGACATCTTTGGCCCTTCTAGACTAGCCTTGAGTTTTCATGAAGCGTACAGATTTTCAGTGTCCTTACTGTATTATATAAATCACAACGGGTACGTCTTCCTAGGGGCTGAGCTGGAGAGCACAGAAGAGCAGACCACAGCTATCCACACTGTCGTCAGCCTCTCCTCAGAAGAGCCTGCCACACTGCTGTCCCCAGGCCTTGCCTAACACAGGGGTCATAACTCTGATCTACCTCACGAAGATGTGAGAAAAAAACTAACAATCACTAAAAAGCATAAAGCACTTTGCAAATATAAAAGTGCTAGTTTGGCATTTATAGAACCAGAAAACATTCATCGCTTGTGCTATTTGGCAATTTTGTAGCTACCCCTCTCCCCGCTCATGCCCTCCTTCTGTAAAGCCTGGTGCGCTCTACCGTGCCTCCGTGTGTAGGAAAGAGAGATTTCTACTCGGACCAGAGCCCCCCGATCAGTATGGTGGAGGTGGGAGTTCGATGATCTTCCCCCATCGCTCCAGAGAAGGAGGGGTACACCAATCCAAAACGGAGTCAGAGGAGACAAAGGAGCCTTGCGCCCCAAGATGTGACCGTCTGCCTCCCCAAGATTCTCACATAAGGCCAGCAAAACTCTGAGCGAGCTGACTTTGGCAGCAGGTCGCTGGGGGGACCGTTCACGGCCTGAAGTTCAAGTGAAACGAGCGCCCAGCTGACCCGGGAGAGCGAAAGTCACACACAGCTGGGATTGCTCCATTTCCCTGGAAAGTCACAAGTGAGACCTGAAAGACACACGGAGCCTGGCACACGCCTGGCCCTATGGGGCGGGGTCTGCTCATCC